ACGTTCATCTTTTGGAGATGAACGCAGAGAACCAATATTGAGCTGAGTATTCATGAGCTTGTAATATAATTTATATATTATAGCAAAAGTATTTGAATGATCATTAAAATCAAGATTTTTTGTTTAAATATGAAGATTTAGAGTATTAAGAATATCTCCATCATTGAGATTGATAGAAAAATTTGGATGACAATTTGAATAAACGAGAACACTTCCTAGATTTGATTCTAGAACAGATAATAATGAATTTTCAAATTGGAGAAGTTACTTATCTCTAAGAGTTAAGAGAATATGAATGTCTAAACTAAGTCGAAATAAGGGTTTAACAGCAATTTGAATTAATCCAACATGAAGATATTTAAATTTCTTTTTGTGAGATTCAATAGATTCTTTTGAAAATAAATTGATAAATGCATTTTGACTCTTAATTGGTATAGTTTGCTCAAAAGTTCTGAAGACATAATTTTGAGTAAAATCAAACTTTCCTATTTCATAGATAGAGTTTTTCTCTACCTTTGGAATAGTTCATTTATACAATCTTTGTTCAATTTGAGGAATTTGAAGTTCATGACCATTGAAATCATTTGATGTAGATGCAAATACTTGATCTAATTCTTCTTCACTTTGAAATTCTACTCCCTTGTCCGTGATTTTTTTTCCAATCTTAGATTGTCACATAAATCTTAGTGTTCTTATTGTGTTCTTGTTTATTTCATTATAGTCAATATTTTGCGATCAATTCAGAACAAAAATATTTGATTTTCTTCTTCTTCAGGTTATGAATTTCATCTTTTATATTAGTTTTTGTCTCTTTATCATGCTAGGCTAGATTATTTTCTATGCCTAGGTTTTAAGTGAACCTTGTATTATGAAATTTTTAAATTTTGAATCTTGCATTTTCAATTCTTGAATGGTTGTCATTGATTTATGTTTATCTACAATTATATGTGCAATAGTTGAATCAGTTTGTAGTTGGTTTTACCTTCAAAATATTGAAACTAAATTAGACATAGTATCAATCATCGTACAATCAGATATGGAATAGAAATATACTGCTATATTCTATGTGATATTTAAGTATTCATAAATCCTTAATGCATTCTTATATGTTCGCATCCGCCATAAAAATATAGTCAGATTACATACTAGGATATGTTTGATTCTACTCAAGAGAGATTGTTAAATAATTTAGAAATATTGATATTCATAATTAAATCGTGTTGTCAAATTATAAGATTCGAGGTTAAAAAGGATTGATACAAGGGAATTTGGGGTCCTAGTACATCTTTAATCATTATATTTTCATCAAATTTGTATTCATTACAATTTCATCGATTTTAGTTAACTTAGTTGTTGCATTAGTAAATAGATTATTTGATCACATTTGATTATATAAAAAAAAAATCACAAGTTTCTATTGTTTCCATTAAGACTAAGTCAATACGAACTTGAACTAGTACAATCTTTGTGGGTACAATACTTGGACTCAAGTGTCTAGTATAGTGTTGAACGACTTGTCGCATATGATGATATTTATTTGTTTGAATTGAGTACAACTTTACCTAGAACTTACAATATCGTATCTTATGCTTTTACTTGAGTACTTATCCATGTTAGACTTGTTTACTTGAGCACATAGCCGTATAAACTTATCACTCATATTGGGGGATGATTTGATTATATGGATTTAATTGTTAATGTTGTTGACCTATGCTTGAATGAATTCCTGAAACCTTAATATAGAAACCAAACTGATAAAAAGCAGTTTGGAAGTAGAAAGGTTAAAGCTTGTATTCATAAAAGTTTAATAGTGTGGAGTTCTCAGATCCCACCGTTGATTGAAAGAGTTTGAGTTAAAGAGTCGAGAATGGACACTGACCATTTTAAAATTCGAATCCCATAACAAAAGAAAAGATCTTATTCTTCTCTTCGTTGAGCTTTCATAACTCGAGTGATTAAACCTGCAAAGGTATCTAAAAATCTATTGTCATATAATCATCTGACTTGAGAGTCATTGGCCTAAAACTCTTCTTTAGAAAGTATAATAGAGGGAGGTCTTGCGCATAAGATATAAAAATAAAGAAAAGAGAGTTTGATACATCTTATGCTTCCCTTTGTGGATTTTATGAGTCGAGTGATTAAGCCACAACAATATCTAAAACTTGATGTCCTATAGTCATCTGATTTGGGAATCATTGACCTAAAAACTCGTTACAGTGATTATTTAGAAAGCTTAACACAGAGAGGTCTGGTACAAGGTATGTAAAAAAAGAATTCGGATTATTAAAAGTGAGATGTGCTTGATAAGGACTTTGAGATTTGATTTCTAGAAATTGATAGTGTGATTTTTTTATAAATACTTCCCATCTTTTTTATAGTGATACAAGTATCTAATTCTGATTACTTTGTGTAGAAAAAAGCATTTTATTGATTATTAAGAACCCATTTGTGCTAGAAATACCTCGAGATTGGAGAAAAAACCATGATGCATGATCTTACATGAGAGGTATAAGGGAAAATTCACCAAAAGAGGATTGGAATTATAAGTAAACCAACAACACTAAATTGGTTGTATCCTAGTATGGATCTTTCTAAAGTGTTGACTTAAAGTCGAACCTAAGGCATATGGGAAGTAATTCAATGTTGAGTATGTTATTTGTGATTTGTTTTAGTATAGTAATGAGGCTTATGCCTAAAGTTTTATTTTATTTTGTTTGAGGACGAACAAATGTTTTAGTTTGAGGATGTTTGATAAGTGCATTTTTGTGCACTTATTCGAGCCAAATTACTAAGCTTTTATGTTGTTAAAGTGTTAAATTTTACTTAACTTTGGTTAATTTTCTCTTTTTTCAGTTTTGGATCCATTCACTAGCAATTGGAAAATAAAGTTGAACTAATGATTGGATGGAAGGTTTGAAGTCTAATGTGCTCACGAGAAGAAATTGAAGGATTGGATAAAAGTAATTTAAAATGGAGGATCCAGATGCCATTTCATTCATCTCATATTCATCATACAAATCCATCATTTTGGAGCATAAACTAGGATTTTCATTGGAGAGTTCATGTGGGTTGAAGATCAAACGCGAAGATGGAGTTATACTATTTGATTTTCTTCTTCTCGGAGTTATGAATTTCATCTTTTGTATTAGTTTTTGACTCTTTATCATGTTAAGCTAGATTATTTTTTGCGCCTAAATTTTCGATGAACCTTGTATTATGAAACTTTAATTTTTGAATTTTGTTTTTGATATTAAAGCATATTTTCAATTCTTAAATGATTGTCATGGATTTATGTTTCTCTACAATTATATGCTCAATAGTTGTATGAGTTTTGTGGCTTGTTTTACTTTCAAAAGATTGAAAAGAAGTTAGACATAGTATCAATCGTCGTTAAGCCCGAAATATACTGTTATACTCTACGTGATCTTTAAATATTCATAAATCTTTAATGTATTCTTATATGTTCGCAACCATTATAGAAATATAGTCGGATCACATACGAGAATATATTTAATTATACTTGAGAGAGTTTGTTAAATAATGTAAGAAATTGAACTTCATAATTAAATCGTGTTGTCTAATTGTAATATTCGAGATTAAAAGGGATTGATACAATGGGATTGGGGATCCTAGTGCTTCTTTCTTCATTATATTTTCATCAAACTTGCATTCATTATGATTTTGCATTGATTTTAGTTAAGTTAGATGTTGCATTCATAAGTAACTTATTTGATAACAATTTGGTTATAAAAAAAATCACAAATTTCTATTGTTTCGACTAAGGTTAAGTTAATTCGGACTTGAACTAATACAATCTCTTTTGATTCGATAATTGGACTCAAAATTCATTTTATTACTTGTTAGCAAATCGTGCACTTGTGACATTTTAAACGAAATATATTTTCGTAGCAAGCTCCTCATTCGAAACTAAGGTATCATTCTCGCAAATCTAAATATTCTTCAATATCTTTGGCAAAAATTAGTGTTCATCACAATCTTTGTTGAATTCAACCACCGTTTCAAACACTGACATTGATCATATTCCTCATCCAAACTAACACGAATGCATCTCTTGAATTGAAACAAGTGAAAATATTACTATCATACAACATTACTTATGCAATCGAGAAGAACCTCAAGTTGTTCGAGATATGTTTGGAACAACTTTGAAATATTCATCTTCTTATCATCACAACTAAATAGTCAAATATATTTTGTCAATCACAATTTTTTAAACTTATTTAGGAGCTCTGTATGCAATTGTTATAATAATTTAATAAATAGATTTATAACCAAAAGTTGTTTTGACATTGTTCATGACTTTTCTCTTTGCTAACCTGCTGACCTTATATACCACTATTTACTCATCATCATTGTCATCGTTGTTGTGTTGTGATGTTGTTGGAGATTTACATTTCAAGAGTGATGAAATCATCAGAGTGTTAATATNATCATCATTGTCATCGTTGTTGTGTTGTGATGTTGTTGGAGATTTACATTTCAAGAGTGATGAAATCATCAGAGTGTTAATATTTAAAATGAAATTAAGTGACTTAATTTGAAACTAAATTGAATTTTAATAACTCCATCGAGATAAATTAAATTTGTTGATCTAATAAAAATTTTGCTAGAAATTCAGAGACTGCAAATAAATTTTAACTTCCGCAACAAGATGGAGTAAATATAACTGGTTAAGTGATTGATGGAAAGTAACACAAAAAGAGGAGTACCCGATTTATAATTATGCTTCTTATGTAAAATTTTCTTGCTCGCGTATTCAAAGGCCAGTTAAGTTAATTAAAAAAAAAAGAAAAAAATTGAACCTCAGTCTTGAGGGCCCAACCGTTTTGCCTATAGATCCAGTTAAGTTAATTATCATCAGTTTTGTGTGGTGTATGGCCCAACTCGAGAGCCCATTATTTCCCGATTAAAAAGGGTACTTTGGAGAATTCGACAAAGCACCCACTTCATCCTTCCTAGGGTTTCTACCTGTGTGATTAAAAAGGGTACTTTGGAGAATTTTCTTTTTCTTTTCCTCACAACACAGCAGTTTTTATCTTTGCGGCTTGAGGACTCAGCCCACTCCAACCTGTGTGATCACAGAATCAGATTAAAGAAGCAAAAATGGCTACTGAAGGGATAATTATTGATCAACAGCAGGAAGATAGGATTCACAGCGATGTATTGCTCTTCAACCGCTGGAGATATGACGAAGTTCAGGTACAATTTTACCCACTCCCGTACAAATCATGCTGATGCACAATTGAATTGTTTTTATATACGTTTATATATATTGCTTTATTCTTGTTAGTATTTGGAGGTTTTCTAGTGATAATACGTTGCATCTTAATCTGTGGAAAGATTAGCTATGAAATAGTTAATTTAGATTTGGAATGCTATGGAATGTCTGAATCAATTACAAATAAATTTTAACCTAGTTTATTGGGCTTACGAGCACATTTCAAAATCTTCATACCCGTTCAATTGTTTCAATTTTATTGAATATGTGTTGGTACGCTGTTATGCTTTTTATCCCATTGCTCATAGTAATTCTAGGAAAATAGTTGAAGATAGAAACAATATCCTTTTTTCCTGCAGTTGTTTATGAAATTTAAAAATGAATGTTGGGCGTCTCACAAGAAATTTAAACAACAAATTAAATCTTTCATTATCCGAAGCTGACCTTTGTCGCTTTGAATTAATTTTTCTGTCATTTTAATTCTTGAAAATAATTCACATTTCAGGTATTTGTTTATTGTTTTCTTGTATTTTAGAGTGAGAGACTATTGCACCAAAATGCTTCTTGAATTATCATTCAGTGATGCAGAAATCATATCTTGGATCTTATGTCTAAAAGATGGGTAGATTGACTTCTGATGTAATACGATGACTTGTAGACTTTTGAAGCATTTTATCTGCACTAAATGAGGATGCAACTGTGTGCTTGGATTTTAGTTTAAAGCCATTAACGAGTCTGTTGTTTCATAAAATTGTTTTTCTTATGCAGATTAGTGACATTTCTGTTGAGGATTACATCACTGCCACCGCTGCGAAGCACCCTACCTATATGCCTCACACTGCTGGGAGGTACCAGCAGAAGCGGTTTAGAAAAGCCCAGTGCCCAATTGTGGAGAGGCTGACTAACTCACTCATGATGCATGGCCGTAATAATGGAAAGAAGCTGATGGCTGTGCGCATAATCAAACATGCTATGGAGATCATCCACTTACTGACGGATCAGAACCCTATTCAAGTCATTGTTGATGCTGTAATCAACAGGTACAGTGAAATATCTTGTCGCTAATGTTCTCTCTAGCTACTTCTATAACTGTTGCTATATGAAAGATTAAAATGTTGCAATTGTTGCTCTATACTTCATGATAGCTATCATGCAACCAATATTTCAGTTACTTTAACCAAAAAATGAGTTCAGGTTATGTGGATCATTAAAACATACTTGGAAGTGTATTTTTTGAGCATGCTCTAAGACTTGCTCTAAGACCAAATTCTGTATTCCTTGAGAGATTTATGGAATGATGATTCTTTGTTATATCCACAGATTCTACGTTCCAAAGCAAGATATATTTAAGGATCTAGTGCATGGACTTTTATGAATTGTTAATTTTTTTGCTGTAGTGGACCAAGAGAAGATGCAACCAGGATTGGTTCTGCTGGTGTTGTGAGACGTCAAGCAGTTGATATTTCACCTCTAAGGCGTGTTAACCAGGCCGTCTATCTCCTCACTACTGGTGCTAGGGAGAGTGCTTTTAGGAATATTAAGACCATAGCTGAATGCCTTGCTGATGAACTCATAAATGCGGCCAAGGGGTCTTCGAACAGGTGAGAATAGCCTATCCTTTTTTCTATATTCACATGCCTAAAGCTCTTGTTCATTTTTTCCTTTTCTCTAGTGCCATTTATTTTTACAGAGTTCGCAGAATCTTTACTCACTTCCTTTCTAATTTACATGCAGCTATGCTATTAAGAAGAAGGATGAGATTGAGAGGGTGGCGAAGGCCAATCGTTGAGAAAACTATATGTGTGACTGGAGAGTTGCTATTTTTAGAGAGTTATTGCTTTGTACTTTTTAGTCTCTACCTGTTTTGGTGGTTTTTTCTGGAGAAACCTTAATTTCAGTTGCTTGGAATTGTCACAAGCATAATGCTGGACGAGACTGCAGTTTTTTTGATTTTACCAAGTTGCATTATTTCTCTTTACACGCATGTAACAAAACTTTGTGGTTTCATGGCAGCAAGGAGATTGGCAGTTTGAATATTTGACTTTAATGTTACTGATATCAAACATATCAAATCTGTGTTTTGTGCCTAAGCCTCTACTTACTTTATTTACTTAGAGAAAATATCTCTTGGTATACCATTGCATTGCAAGGTCTCGCAAACAAGAAAATGCTGTAGAAGCACCAGATTATGCAAGTTTGACTTGTTTTCAAAGATTAAAATTTGGAGGGTTGGACATGATTTGATTTAGTTCGATTTTAAAGATAATCAAATCAAATTTGAATTTTCGGGTATTTAATAAGTGGAATCGTTGGGTCTAAATTTTAATTGTGGAATTATTCAGGTTCGATTTCATTTGGTTCAGTTCAATTTTATTTGATTCTTAGGTTTTTGCAATAATTAAATTTTTTAATATTTACAACAATCATACATTAATTCAACTAATAATATGTTTAATTTTAGTTGTTACAAAATAACGTAATCCAATTTTATATATTTTTTACACCTTTATTTGTTGAGTTTTTCGTATATTTGATTGTTAAAATCATAGAAAGATAAAGATAGGAAACTTACAATAATGAAAAGAGGTATAACCGAGCTTTGAATTTGATTTCTCCATAACTGTAGGTATAACACTACGATAGAATAACAGATTTGAGTCAAACTTAGGTCAATTTGATTAAGTTGAATTTGGACTGAATATCAGAAATAGGAAAATTACATTTTGGATTTGGATTAAATTAAGTTAGCAAATTTATTTATGAAAAAAAGAGATAATTTGACTTATTTAGAGTTCGTTTGGTAGCCATTTTCTTCAAAATGCATTTTTCTCTTTTTTCTTTTTAACCATACATTCTTTATTAAAATAATATTACACGTAAATAAAAAATATTTCTTTATTTTTCAACCGCACATTTCACATCAATTTACTATTCTAAAATACATTTTTAGATAAAAATGCTTATCGAACACCCTCTTAATATAAATATATTAATAAAAATTAATAAGATTCAATTCTTAGGGCCCGTTTGGGATGTCTTTTGAAAAGCCAAAAGGAGTTTTTGAAAGCCAAAAGCTGCTTTTGGACCGTTTGGCTATTTTTGTTTAAAGTGCTTTTGGAGGTGAGAAGAGATTTTAGAGGAAGCCGATTTTTTTGGCTTTCTCCAAAAGCACTTCCGGAATGAAAAGTGATTTTAAATATTAATTTTCAAACAAAAATTAAAATAACTTTCTCCAAAAGCTCTTCTACAAGAAGCAAAAGCCAAAGTAAAGGCCGTGCCAGACGGGCCCTTATTCGATTTTTAATCTAAAATTAAGAATCGAACCAAATCCGTCGGTTCTCGATTCAAATACCCGTTCGTGGTCCGAGTATTTAATTTAAGAAGGACTGCTCAATTCGGATTGAGGTGAGGTTGGGTCGGAGTGTTTTGTCCAGAAAAGTGATTGTCAGACTCGCTCCTATTCTCTTTGGAACAATTATGTATCAGAATTTTGATGAATTTTGTGTTACATAACGATTGGATATTTGCTGTTCTATTATCTCTTATGGATCCTATGGGTAGTTAAAAGATTCTAAACACGTAGATTCGAATGATTCTAATGAAACAGAAGCAAACATGACCAGTATGTATTTCAAAGATTCGACACAATGCAAGGACAAGCTGGAAACAGAGTACATAAACAGATGCAGATGAAACTGATGCTCCAATGATAAATCCATCGTTTCTTCACTCTAATTTCAGCTGCTGTGGCTGCTGCTGCTGCGGCTGAAGGTATTGGGAGAATGTGATGGGACCTCCTGTCAGTCTTGTGGGATGAGGCATATCTAGAAGTGGCCTTCCAGTCCCAATGAAAGAGGTTCTTCTTTCACCACCATTTATCAAAAGGAACCGAAGTGTCCAATACAAGACTTTGGGTGCGAAGACCCTGTATAGGAAAAATACGTCATACCAGCTTGGATATTTTACATATGGGTCTCCTCTACATGCCCCAGAAACAATCAACTTTGCAAACTCCTCCACAGGACCACCAGATACATGTACCTTGTAAAGTATGTAAGAAAACACTCAGGTATATTGAAATACTTGAGAAGCTCAGTTGTAATTGCTCGAGGATTTACCAGAGACAACCCAAATTTAAACAAGGTCATGAGACTGGAATATACCTCTCTTTCTTCCTTCCATTGCATCTCTGCACCTTCCTCCACCATGAATTTTCCTCGGGTCATTTCAGTCCCGATCCAACCATGTGTTGCAATGGTTATTCCAACCTCATCCTTCACTTCAAACCTCAGTGTCTCGTAGAAGTTCACAAGTGCTGATTTTGCAGCCTACTCGTGAAACATGAGTTGAAAAACCAAAAATCTGTCATCTGCTTAGTGAATATTGATAATTGAGAGTTGAATGCAACAAGAAGAATATTTAAGATTTCTTCCAAACGATGGAGCTATTGTACTTGTTCATTCTAATAATCCAATGTTTTATTGGAAGGGAAAATTGATCTTCAAAATTGGAATTAAAGCAATTGTGTCGAGTTCATAAAAACTCACAGAATACAAGCTCATCCTTGGCAAAGGTAACCAATTTTCTACTGATGCATTCACTATGATCCGTCCACTGGTTTGCCGGAGATAAGGGAGCGCGACATAGGTTGGATAAACATTACCCCAGAAGTTTATGTCCTGATAATGTACAGCAATTTTTAAAAGAAGCTAAATCTTAAAATATAAAAATATTAAGGTGTGAAAAATATTGTGATTTGGAAACATATAAAGAAAACTTTTCAACAACTAAGTTGAAAGAACTCTAGAAATAGCTCAAAGGGCATCTAATTTTTGACCATACCATTAAAATGGGAAAAACACTGGTATCAGTAGCGTCCTCGAAGTAGAAAGTATGTCCCAAACTTGCTGTGTTCACTAAATGATCCACTGCAAGATGCAAAAAGAAAGGAAATGAGAAAAACTGAGAACTCATGATGCATGTGCACATGTCTGAGGGACGACTACACTATTGTATTGTAAAGTTATACCAGTCCTAAGAGACAAGAAAGACAGTACTCAAGTCAGTGATACAATTATGCATAAGACTTCATTTATCTGAAAAATGAATACAAGCAGCAAGTTTTATAAGCTTTGCAAGCTTAAAGCTCCTCTTGATTCAACTGATAAATATTAACTCAAACCCTTTTATCTGTCAAATCCTTGTTTTCATACAAATCTAAGCTTAAAGCAATGGGCTCAAATCTTCTCGTTGCTTAGGCAAAGAATAGCACAACATATTGGAAGCAAAAAGGTGTATGCTCCAGGCTTACCATGCCCAAAATATTTGATTGTCTCATTGATAAATCTCCTACAATCATCTTCCTTGACAACATCAGCAGCCATGATCAACACATGCCTTGACCCCAGCCTTCTTGCATTCTCACTTATTCCTCTCAGTCTGTGCTCTCTTCGAGCGATTAATACAAGATTAACCTGCCTCTTTGCATACTCATAAGCAATTTGCTGTAGTAGTAAGAATTGGTCATTGTTGAGGTGCCCATGGCCAAAAGTACAGGTAAAAGAAGCACATGAGTTTAGCATTTATGGTAAACGAAGAAAAATATTTTATTTAACCAATTCCTTATATGTATCCCAGCATTAGACAAATCAATGGGGGAACTTCCCAAATTTCATCAGCTTAAAATAAAATTCCACATAATCTATCAAGACTAGGGGTTTCGGTCAATCAAGACGAGGAGCCCCCATCTTTAACCGACATGGATTTATCCAACAGCATAAACAAGATATTAAATTTACATAAACAAAATACTAAATTTCCTAAATAAACATTAAATTTCTATCTAATACTTTATTCCACCCAAAAGATGAAATCTTGTGGACAGATGAAATCTATATCGCATCCTTTTTTTTTTTCCAGTTCTTATTTTTCAGAAACATAAATACATCCCGAAATACTGAAGAAATGTCAAAAATCTTGAATCTTAAAGCAAACCCCCTAAAGCAAGTTAATAGTTACAACTCTCTCTAATTCTTTTTTCCCCAGAAATTTTGTTCAATTTTATCATCGAATTATTCACTATCGATTTACGTTGATGCCCCAAAATATTTTGCACCCACGTGAAACATGAAACAATACTTAATTTACTGGGGAAATAACCTATAACTAGAGTGTTAAAATTGTAAGAGTGGAATAATTACCTCCCCAATCCCTGAGGAAGCTCCAGTGATGACGACCACTTTGTTCTCCATATTTTCAGAGGTGAAGAAAGTATCGTATATCCATTCACAAGTGTTGATGAATGTCAAGGTAGGCCATGCAAATGCCAGCATCACAAGGCTTGCTGGAGGCACCAGAAAGTTAAGCGCAGCGGTTATCAGATCCATTTCTTATGAAAATGAAAGAGAGGATGATAATGAAATTAGATAAATAAATGAACAAACCGGTTGAAGATTAGCTACATGTTGAAGATTAGCTACATGCAGAAGAGGGTGGTGAAAACGAAACACGTGTTAGTGTACAGATGACGAATGGAATGGAGGAGTTGATATTTTGGAACTTCTGCATGAGGGATTGGATTGATGCTAACGCTAACATGACACGTTATTTGTTATAAGGGATAGGACCAGCTCCACTTTTTAACATGAAACAGTACAATAGTTCAATTTTAAAGCTCAAATAATTGTCGATATTGATTTTTTCAAACAAGACGACTCGTCATAAATTCCATATTAATTGAGTTCTAATACGTTATTGAGTTTAATATTTCATCCTGAACAATTGAATTTGATAAACATTTGTGAAATTTATCGTTGGGATTCCAAACTTCTTAAACTTTTGCAAATCATGTCTTTACATTTTTGCAGATGGGGCCTCAAATCTTTAGCCTCAATTGCAACTGGAGGACAATTGAACTGAATCCATCCAATCCTCTATCAATCAACTTAAAAAAAATCAATTTGACCACATTTTGATTAACTTAAAGGAGCACAATTATAATTTTGTATTTCTTTAACGAAATAATTAAAAAATTAAATAAAAAAGGAGAATTGAAACCGTTCATCTTCT